GCTCACACTCACCACACTCCTACTTGTGACACACAGCGCTCATACTCACCACTCTCCTACTTGTGACACACAACGCTCACACTCACCACTCCTACTTGTGACACACAGCGCTCACACTCACCACTCCTACTTGTGACACACAACGCTCACACTCACCACACTCCTACTTGTGACACACAGCGCTCACACTCACCACACTCCTACTTGTGACACACAACGCTCACACTCACCACTCCTACTTGTGACACACAGCGCTCACACTCACCACTCCTACTTGTGACACACAACACTCACACTCACCACTCCTACTTGTGATACACAGCGCTCACACTCACCACACTCCTACTTGTGACACACAACGCTCACACTCACCACTCCTACTTGTGACACACAGTGCCACACTCACCACTCGTACTTGTGACACACAGCGCTCACACTCACCACTCCTACTTGTGACACACAGTGCCACACTCACCACACTCCTACTTGTGACACACAGCGCTCACACTCACCACACTCCTACTTGTGACACACAGCGCTCACACTCACCACTCCTACTTGTGACACACAGTGCCACACTCACCACTCCTACTTGTGACACACAGCGCTCACACTCACCACTCCTACTTGTGACACACAGTGCCACACTCACCACTCCTACTTGTGACACACAGCGCTCACACTCACCACTCTCGTACTTGTGACACACAACGCTCACACTCACCACTCCTACTTGTGACACACAGCGCTCACACTCACCACTCTCGTACTTGTGATACACAGCGCTCACACTCACCACTCCTACTTGTGACACACAACGCTCACACTCACCACTCTCGTACTTGTGATACACAGCACTCACACTCACCACTCTCTCCTACTTGTGACACACAGCGCTCACACTCACCTCTCCTACTTGTGACACACAGCGCTCACACTCACCACTCCTACTTGTGACGCACAGCGCTCACACTCGCCACTCTCGTACTTGTGACACACAGCGCTCACACTCACCACTCCTACTTGTGATACACAGCGCTCACACTCACCACTCTCCTACTTGTGACACACAGTGCTCACACTCACCACACTCCTACTTGTGATACACAGTGCCACACTCACCACTCTTGTACTTGTGACACACAGCGCTCACACTCACCACTCCTACTTGTGACACACAACGCTCACACTCACCACACTCCTACTTGTGATACACAGCGCTCACACTCACCACTCTCCTACTTGTGACACACAACGCTCACACTCACCACACTCCTACTTGTGATACACAACGCTCACACTCACCACTCTCCTACTTGTGACACACAACGCTCACACTCACCACTCCTACTTGTGACACACAGCGCTCACACTCACCACTCTCCTACTTGTGACACACAACGCTCACACTCACCACTCCTACTTGTGACACACAACGCTCACACTCACCACACTCCTACTTGTGATACACAACGCTCACACTCACCACACTCCTACTTGTGACACACAGCGCTCACACTCACCACTCCTACTTGTGACACACAACGCTCACACTCACCACACTCCTACTTGTGACACACAGCGCTCACACTCACCACACTCCTACTTGTGACACACAACGCTCACACTCACCACTCCTACTTGTGACACACAGCGCTCACACTCACCACTCCTACTTGTGACACACAACACTCACACTCACCACTCCTACTTGTGATACACAGCGCTCACACTCACCACACTCCTACTTGTGACACACAACGCTCACACTCACCACTCCTACTTGTGACACACAGTGCCACACTCACCACTCGTACTTGTGACACACAGCGCTCACACTCACCACTCCTACTTGTGACACACAGTGCCACACTCACCACACTCCTACTTGTGACACACAGCGCTCACACTCACCACACTCCTACTTGTGACACACAGCGCTCACACTCACCACTCCTACTTGTGACACACAGTGCCACACTCACCACTCCTACTTGTGACACACAGCGCTCACACTCACCACTCCTACTTGTGACACACAGTGCCACACTCACCACTCCTACTTGTGACACACAGCGCTCACACTCACCACTCCTACTTGTGACACACAGTGCCACACTCACCACTCCTACTTGTGACACACAATGCTCACACTCACCACTCCTACTTGTGATACACAACGCTCACACTCACCACTCTCGTACTTGTGATACACAGCACTCACACTCACCACTCTCCTACTTGTGATACACAACGCTCACACTCGCCACTCCTACTTGTGACACACAGCACTCACACTCACCACTCCTACTTGTGACACACAGCACTCACACTCACCACTCCTACTTGTGACACACAACGCTCACACTCACCACTCCTACTTGTGACACACAACGCTCACACTCGCCACTCCTACTTGTGACACACAGCACTCACACTCACCACTCCTACTTGTGATACACAACGCTCACACTCACCACTCCTACATGTGACACACAGCGCTCACACTCACCACACTCCTACTTGTGATACACAACGCTCACACTCACCACTCTCCTACTTGTGACACACAGTGCTCACACTCACCACTCTCCTACTTGTGACACACAGTGCTCACACTCACCACTCCTACTTGTGACACACAGTGCTCACACTCACCACTCTCCTACTTGTGACACACAGCGCTCACACTCACCACTCCTACTTGTGACACACAGTGCCACACTCACCACTCCTACTTGTGACACACAGTGCCACACTCACCACTCCTACTTGTGACACACAGCGCTCACACTCACCACTCCTACTTGTGATACACAACGCTCACACTCACCACTCTCCTACTTGTGACACACAGCGCTCACACTCACCACTCTCCTACTTGTGACACACAGTGCTCACACTCACCACTCCTACTTGTGACACACAGTGCCACACTCACCATTCCTACTTGTGACACACAGTGCTCACACTCACCACTCTCCTACTTGTGACACACAACGCTCACACTCACCACTCCTACTTGTGACACACAGTGCCACACTCACCACTCCTACTTGTGATACACAACGCTCACACTCACCACTCTTGTACTTGTGACACACAGCGCTCACACTCACCACTCCTACTTGTGATACACAACGCTCACACTCACCACTCTCCTACTTGTGACACACAGCGCTCACACTCACCACTCTCCTACTTGTGACACACAGTGCTCACACTCACCACTCCTACTTGTGACACACAGCGCTCACACTCACCACTCCTACTTGTGACACACAGCACTCACCACTCTCCTACTTGTGACACACAGTGCTCACACTCACCACTCCTACTTGTGACACACAACGCTCACACTCGCCACTCCTACTTGTGACACACAGCGCTCACACTCACCACTCTCCTACTTGTGACACACATTGCTCACACTCACCACTCCTACTTGTGATACACAGCGCTCACACTCACCACTCTCCTACTTGTGACACACAGCGCTCACACTCACCACTCTCCTACTTGTGATACACAACGCTCACACTCACCACTCCTACTTGTGATACACAGCGTTCACACTCACCACTCCTACTTGTGATACACAACGCTCACACTCACCACTCCTACTTGTGACACACAACGCTCACACTCACCACTCCTACTTGTGACACACAGCGCTCACACTCACCACTCTCCTACTTGTGATACACAACGCTCACACTCGCCACTCCTACTTGTGACACACAACGCTAACACTCACCACTCCTACTTGTGACACACAACGCTTACACTCACCACTCCTACTTGTGACACACAGCGCTCACACTCACCACTCTCTCCTACTTGTGACACACAGCGCTCACACTCGCCACTTCTACTTGTGATACACAATGCTCACACTCACCACTCTTGTACTTGTGATACACAGCACTCACACTCACCACTCTCTCCTACTTGTGATACACAGCGTTCACACTCACCACTCTCTCCTACTTGTGACACACAACGCTCACACTCGCCACTCCTACTTGTGATACACAATGCTCACACTCACCACTCCTACTTGTGACACACAATGCTCACACTCACCACTCCTACTTGTGACACACAGCGCTCACACTCACCACTCCTACTTGTGACACACAGCGCTCACACTCACCACTCTTGTACTTGTGATACACAGCACTCACACTCACCACTCTCTCCTACTTGTGATACACAGCGCTCACACTCGCCACTCCTACTTGTGATACACAGCGCTCACACTCACCACTCCTACTTGTGACACACAGCGCTCACACTTACCACTCTCCTACTTGTGATACACAGCACTCACACTCACCACTCTCTCCTACTTGTGATACACAGCGTTCACACTCACCACTCCTACTTGTGACACACAACGCTCACACTCACCACTCTCCTACTTCTGATACACAGCGCTCACACTCACCACTCTCGTACTTGTGATACACAGCGCTCACACTCGCCAATCCTACTTGTGATACACAGCGCTCACACCCACCACTCCTACTTGTGACACACAGCGCTCACACTCACCACTCCTACTTGTGACACATAGCGCTCACACTCACCACTCTCGTACTTGTGATACACAGCGCTCACACCCACCACTCCTACTTGTGATACACAACGTTCACACTCACCACTCTCGTACTTGTGATACACAGCGCTCACACCCACCACTCCTACTTGTGATACACAACGTTCACACTCACCACTCTCCTACTTGTGATACACAGCGCTCACACTCACCACTCCTACTTGTGATACACAGCGCTCACACTCACCACGCTCTCCTACTTGTGATGCATACATCGCACGGACACTTGCCACACTCTGTAACTCTAGGAGAGTGTGTGCTGAGAACAGAGGGGAAAGTATCTGCTGAGAGACAGAGGGGAGTGTCCGCTTTTTAACTTGTCAATACTCACGTGCTTGTGTAACGTTGCCGCATCTCCGCGCGTGTCCTTGGTGTCCAGGGATATAGACAAGGTGGACGAGCTCATGGGCGACATCCACGAACAGCAGGAGTTGGCGCAGGAGATCTCGGACGCCATCTCCAAGCCCGTCGGCTTCGGGGACGACATGGACGAGGTGACGAGTGCCCCTCCTCCCATGCTGTGTGTGTGTAACTGTGACTTGTGTGCCATCGTCTCACGCTGTGTGTGTGACTGTGTGACATCGTCTCGTTCTGTATGCGTGTGTACGTGTAACACCACCTCGTTCTGTGTGTGCGCGTGACACTGTAACACCGTCTCATTCTGTGTGTGACTGTGTCGTATTAGTGTTTAGTTTGTTGTCCTTGCCCCACCGATTAGCACGGTTGGCTACGTGAATTGCGAAATAAGTTCTACATACATACGTGTCTGTGTAACACCACCTCGTTCTGTGACTGTGTGTAACATAGTCTCATTCTGTGTGTGTCTGTGTGTATACACCACCTCGTTTTGTGATTGTGTTACCACAGTCTCGTTCTGTGTTTGCGTGTAACACCATCTCGGTCGCTGTGTGTTTGTGTATCTGTGATGCGGTGCAGGACGAGCTCATGGCCGAGCTGGAGGAACTGGAGCAAGAGGAGCTGGACAAGGAGCTTCTAGCAGTGGGCGGCAGCCAGCTCCCCAGTGTGCCCACCGCCTCGCTGCCATCCCGGCCTGGTAACACAGACAAATACCCTTCGTGTAACCATGCAGACTGTTGGCGCCAGTGCTGTGTTATCGAGCACATACACACTGCACCTCCGATTAGCACGCTTGGCTACGTACGTCGCGAAATGAGTTTAACATACATGCGTATCTACTGCACCAGACACCCATTTAAAGTTGAGTTGAGCTGAAGGAGGCCCAGGACTGGTGCAGATATTCATCGCTGTTGTTAGCATTAAGTGGGAATTGAGCTCGGGTCACCAGGTTCGTAGCGTAGTGCGCTAAACACTATGCTGTCGCTCTCCACCTTCTCATTATGTATGTGTTTGTCTGAGCCTGGTATTTCTCACATGCACACCCGTTCACTTGCGCACACATACATACTCTCACACGTACATACATTCTCACACACACATACATGCTCTCTCACTCGCATGCTCAATCTCGCATGTTCATGCACATTCACTTACTCTCACATGCACACTCACATACTCACAAACTCATACGTGTATGCTGTCACACACAAGCGTGAATGCTCCTACACACGCTCAATCATGCTGTTACACTCGCATGCTTTCAGACTTGTTCCAAACAAACACGCTGGTCGTGGATAGCGCCGACTGCCACCACCCACACTTGTAATGCCACACAAGTCGAGATATCGTGATACTATCAGTATCATCTTGTCACATGGTGTGCTATACCAATCCAAGGGTTTTCCTGTAGAATAGCAAGTGTGCACTATTTTACGATGCCACGTGCGATGTCGTGACACCTACGCAATTTTATTTGGAAACGTGGTCCAATTCTGAGTTTTTTGGAAATGTGATTATTTGTTCATTGCTGCAGGAAAACAAGGTGCCTTTTGTAAGCACCAGAGCAAGTTGGTTTGCCATCTGTGTGGAGTTTGAGGAGTGACTCCCCATTCGAGAGGTGGTTTTCTCTGGGCACTCCGGTGTCCCCCCTGATCCAAGAGGAACGATTCAAAAACGGAGTTTTCCAAGCAAGGCCCTCGTTAACAAGTAGCGCTCAGTGAGGCTGGTTCTGCTAAAGTAAACAATTGTTGCCTTAGTTTAAACACAGTCTGAAGGGTAGTCCTTTTTGAATCCTTTATATTAAGTTCGCTTGCTTGCTTAGGACCGTGCAAATCTTTCGGTGGTTTTTTAACCCACTTCCCCTGATCCAATCGAGCTGACATTTTCCACACAGACTCGTTGTGCGTGACAATTAATGTTCGTGTAAATTTTTTTCCAAAATTTTACACTTTTTAGGACAAAAATATTATATTTAATTACCAATTGCTTAATGGTGCAATGCGATCATCTGACCCATAGGTGGCAGCCATCTCAAGCCAGAGGACGAGAGGACTCTAGCCGCCACGCATATAAAGGATTTATAGTGAAAAACTTTGTTTTTACGGGTTATACTTATTGTAAGCTTGCTTGAGCAGCCATCATTTTTGGCCAGGTTACTTCTGCAAATAAGTTAATAAATCAGTAAGTAGGCTTTACCTGGTAAGAAAAAAAATAGTTCAGTTTTATATGCATATATATTTAGAAGTGATTTGTTTACCTTTCCTATACATTTCACTCCGATTTGTGTTTTTGTATTGTTTGTTTTTGTAACGTTCTGACCCGCCCCGACTGGACATCTGTGAAAAAGAGCTTTATAGCTCATCGGATTCCTCCTGCAGTATAAATACATTCTGATTCTGATCCAGCCACCTTATGTGTGTGTTTGTTTTTTTGTTTGCTTTTACAAGCAGCCACCAAGAAAAGGGAAGAGGAAGATGATGATGACATGAGGGATTTGGCTGCCTGGGCCAACTGAGCCACCCCCTGCTCCCTCCACACCGTCCCAGGTCTCTTCCCAACCTTCCTCCTGGGCGCCACACCCCCACCCCCGCCCCTTCCTCCTGGGCAGGTTTCCCAATTCCTATGGGCAAGGAGGGCTCGGCTTGGCCCTTTGCAGCTCAACAACAGGGAGCGCGCGCAGACCGTGCACCGAACTGCGTCAACGCTAGTGGCGAGAGATCACGGCGCGTGCTCTTACAAAAGAGAAGGGCCGTGGTGTGGAACACTTTTAACTTTTTGGCATTGAATCCTGTACCATGCATTTGTGTCGTGGTATGAATATTTAATTCACCGACCTTCACAATCAAAATATGACTGTAGCCCTATTAACTTGATGCTTTTAACATTCGGAAGCACGCCACCTACATTTGCAGCCAGAAGCAAAATGTTTCCCCCGAGTGCAGCGGCAAAGCAGAAGGTGTAAAGGCTTCTTATACAAGAGGAAGTAGCATGGTAATTTCAGTGATAATTTTAATCTAATTGACCAAATCCAAATGCCCTGTTAATGTGACCATGATCACCTATTCTTAAGGCTGCTTACCACCATCCAGCATACAAAAAACAACCAACAAAATTCAAATTGCAGTTTCTAAGCCTGAAAATGAGCCCAAAAACATATACCCTTGTAGGTGAAAATACAGATAAGCATTGCGTGCCTTTGTTTCCCGGCGCCTTAAGCTAGATTTTTGAGTGTTGTGTACAAATGGCCAAGTAATCCTGTGCTGGAAACTTTATGCATTTCCCCCATATATGAGGCCAGGGGCCGTGAGACCAAGGCAAACAGGTTTGCCTAAATTCTGTCACCAGAGTGTGGCCTGTCAAACAAATTAGGTTTTGGATTTACATTGAGTGCCTGAAATGCAGCAGCATCTCAAGGCGCTGTACAAACCATGGAATGATAAGGGTCAGTCGTGGGGAAAACCAAAGCAAATTGGAAAAACATCCTGTTGGGTTGCCCTGCACAAACACCACGAGGCCCACTGAATGCAGTAAAGCAAGATCACAATTTATTATCCACTGTCATGATGGATTGTGGGTAATCGCCACAGTCCACCATGGCGGATGGCAATGTAAATATTAGACAACAAGTCAAGGGCCTGGTGGAGATTCTATTTGCTACTATAAGTTGTATCCCGTGTGAGTCTGGTTTGTCTTTATGGTTTGCTGCTAAAGTCAGGTGCTCAATTGTGATCGATTCAATCCCAAATTGTTTTGAGTGCAACTTTGGTGTTTCTTGAAGAACATTTCCAAGTTGCACCCATTAACATTCTTCAGCACTTTTGAATTTGTCTATGGCCGAGTCCATTGCCAATCCAACTTGATCTTGTGACTCCAAATTGTTCCCGATTAAATTCCTAGTACCTCTTTATGTAATTCCTAAGTTGCCTATCAACGCTGTATTTTTTTCCTAATTAAATTACGAGTTGCTCTCGCTTTCATTGCGGGTGGTTTTCTATTTAACTTAGTTGCTAGCTTAATAAATTACAACATGAACTTTATTTTCTTTAAGGTCGAAGTTGCTGTTGGTTTAACTACAAGTTGCACCATGCACATTTCTTTAAAAACATTTTTACAGTTTAATATCAAATTTCGATTTAAAGCTTTCGTGACTGCAGGGATTCATCTTCTTGGTTCTTTCGGTAAAGTCACGTAGAAGGGAAGTAATAAAATAATAAAAATAAAACATAATAAAACAATTATAAAACATAATAAAACAACAATTCTCACGACGTCGTGAGAATTGTTTTATTATGTTTTATTTTTATTATTTTATTACTTCCCTTCTACGTGACTTTACCGAAAGAACCAAGAAGATGAGTTTAATATCAAGTTGGTTCCATTTTTATTGAAGTGTGATGGTGCCAAGCTGCTGCCCAGTGGGAGCTGAAGGGCCGTTCCGTACTCCGCCTGTAGTAGTTTCTCAACCCCTTCTCCCGTGCATGATAATTAATCACTCCTCCCACACCCCCCCGAGTTTCTTGCGGTCGCGAAGCTTGATTGCTTGATTGGAACTTTTCTGGTGAAGGGAGAGGCGGCACCGACCGCGGTTGCTTATTAACGGATGGTGTCGGATCAAATCAATTTCTCGATAATGCAACGGTTTAATTTAGTCCTGGGCTATGGCATTTAAATCTGTATATATGAAATGTATTTTTTTTCTTATAATTGCTGTTATTGTTAGATGTATTTTGCTATACGTACATTTTGCAATGTACAGCAGCAAAGCATGTATATAGTTACTCTTTGTAAATTAATCTGAATAAAAGTGTGCAACTTTACACTGACATTATGCTTCATTGTGTGAGTCATGAAATAAAATATTTTGAAATAAAATTCATCAATGGGCACATCAACTTAGGCAATGGCCTTGTGGCATGTTACACCACAGCGACCGGGGTACTGTAGGATTGTCAGAATGTCCGGATTTTCTGACACAATCTGCAAAGCCATCACCCCAACCGTGAGGAAGGAGCCATCAGAGGATCCAATGAAAACCATCACCCTGCCATACATAGCAGGGGTAACCAAAACATTTCCAAAATCATGAACAAACAAGATCCAGGTCCGATTTAACACGATACATAAAATTCGTAATCTGATTTTATTTGTGAAGGACTAGATTCATGACATGCAATATCCCGGCGTCTACAAATGAAGCTGTATCTGCGGCAGCAGTTACATTAGGGAAACTAAGCGACATGTCTCGGACCGTGTTCGTGAACATAAGGCAGATCTGAAACACGGTAGGACCAATACCTCGGCCGTGGCCGATAAATATTTGAAAGCGGCTGGCTCATGAAATTGATTTCTCTAAGACGATGGTACTTTGCAAGCCTACTGGCTATCAACAAAGATCCGTTCATGAAGCCATCCATGTATACAGACAAACAATTTCAACCGAGAGGATGGCTATAGACTCTGCAATCATTGGAAAGGTGTCATCAACCACTTTGGGTCATTGTGTTTTCTTGTCAATCAACCTCCACCGTCAGCAGTGTGGAGTGGGGTGCAGGGATTTCCTGGTGGCCCTTTGCTGCATTGGCATTGCTGCTGCATTGGCATTGATGCTGCATTGGCATTGCTGCTGCATTGGCATTGCTGCTGCATTGGAATTGCTGCTGCATTGGCATTGCTGCTGATACACTTGGGCTACGCCCTTTATAAACAGTTTGCCTTTAGAAGCTAACCATTTTCCTGATGACGACTGCTTGTGTTGCGATCGAAACGTGGTATTTATATTAACTTTATTTTTATTATATTTTTTCTATCTACGTGACTTTACCGAAAGAACCAAATAATATGAATTCTTGCAGTCACGAAAGTTTCAAGTCGCTTCAACTACTGGAGAGTTTTTAATTGTCCATTTGTGCATCATCAGGTATCATCCGCATCTACTGCCATTGTGCAGTGGATGCGGTTTAGGGTGGACCATGAGCTTCGTGGAAGATCAAACCCCCCAGGGGGGGATCTTCTGCGTTGGGGTTTTCACAACAAGGTGTTTGTGAGTTCCTTTGAACTCCGTTTCGCTCTCCAGGCTTCATCGGGATTGGATCGCATTGTTGAAGGTGAAGCGCATGGGTCTAAAAGGGCTTGGGGGTGACTTCAAGCGGTGACCATCATGGATGTTGAGGTCCTGACGAATGGGAAGGCGACTGTTGTCCTCGATTCGCAGGACTTCCCAGAAGGTTGCAGCCTCGCGGCGATTGTTTGGGAGAAAGAGGTGGCGCCAGCACGGCCAGCCAGGGTGTCGGAGTCGACTGTAGGAGGGTCCCAGTGACACACCGCAGCGTTCAGCTTCACTCCGAGATAGGTCGGAGTGGGATCGTGTCGCACACTGTGTTTCCGCAGGTCACTTTCAGAGCGAGTTGCTCATTGTGGCTGGGATGGGGAGCGCGATGTAAAATCAATTATCATGGCTCGGGGTGGGGGGGGGTTGCGATCCGGGTGACAAATCAGCTCCGCTCCATCATCGCGCCCCTGCGGTACATTGCAGAATTTATGGCGGTGGGTTCGTGAAGAGTGCGATGGTGTAGTGGGGTTATGGAAACTGTTAAACATTGCTTAGATTATTTTGCTACTATCAATTTCCACACGATGAGCCAACTTCGTTGAGCTATCATTTGTTGCCAGGTCGCTTCTAAATAGAAGATAATAGCTCAGTGGGCTTAACCTGGTAAAATCAAACAAAGTGTTGCTATTTTAGTGATTTGCTTACGTTTCCTATACTTTGCATTCCTGTCGTGTTTCTGTATTGTTCGTTGTAACGCTCTGACCCGCACCTACTGGATATCTGTGAAAAGGGCTTTGTAGCTCATCGGATTCCTCCAGCAGAAATACATATTCTGATTTAGTGTCCATGGCGCTCCTATTGCCAACGCAGTTGTGACGACGTAGCCACGAGAGGGCGACACAGACCAACAAGACTGCATTCGAATCGAGACCCAGACACCGCACCTCCTGCCTTTCACGTGCCTCTCCCTCTAAGACACCGGTGGGACCATTACCCACGACAGAACACCAACACGCCCATGCGCACATCTCCATCAGATGGACAATCTGAGACGAGCCACCATTGGGGGTGGGGGACACACGAATTCTCTCCTCTGCCTGCTGCAGCCCTCTCGCCGTGACCAGCAGGAGACCTCGACATTAGCAGCGAGCTCCTGAGCAGCTGCTGTCGCCATCGTACACGCGAATAGAACGATACAGTCCCAAACATTCTTGATTTGAAGCTTTCGTGACTGCAGGAATCCATATTCTTTGGTTCTTTCAGTAAAGTCACGTAGGTAAAATATATATATTCTTGGTTCTTTCGGTAAAGTCACGTCGAAGGGAAATAATAAAATAATAAAATTTTAACAAAATTCTCACGACGTTTCGATTGCAACACAGGCAATCATCATCAGGTGTAAAACCCACGGCAAAATGTTCTTGCTGTGGCAATCGAAACGTCGTGATAATTTTCTTGTTTTATTTATGTGACTTTACCGAAAGAAACAAGAATATTAATCCTTTCAGTCACGAAAGCTTTAAATCGAAAAAAATAATATATCACGGCGTTCCAGCTGGTTCAGCTGGTTCAGCAGCTCCATTGCTGGATTATGTTTTCCGCCTGGGGACGACCGCTTGTGTTGCGATCGAAACGTCGTGATCTCTTCTTTTTGTTTTCTTTTATTTATTTTTCTACCTACGTGACTTTACCGAAAGAACCAAAGAGTATAGTCCTCAACATGATCGTCGTGGAGAATTTCATTCCAAATATAAATCAGCGATTCGCCTCCTTCTCCACATAGCAACAACAACATACTTTTACACATCCCATGAGCCACATGGCGTTCTGCGAGTTCACAATTTCAGCAGCATTGGTTCAACACAAACTATGGACTGGTTTACAACATATAGGGGCCGTCCATAAATGACGTCACGCGATTTTGGCCGATTTTTTACCCCCCCCCCCCTCGTCACACGGCGTCACAAAAAGTCAGACCTCCCTCAAATATGACGTCAAAAAGCTCTACCCCCTCCCAAAACCATATTTCCACTTTGAAAATAAAACATGATTCAAATCACTTTAAACGATTGTCATTGTAGTGCGTATTTAATGTGGCGCAGCAGTCTGATGTTATAGGAGAAACATGTATTACAAAGGCGTTGGAAAGCTGAAATTTAGCATAAAATCTATATATATAAAATCGTGAATGTCTGTCTGTCCGTCTGTGTGTGTGTGTGTGTGGATTTCGGACCATACGCACTTTCATTGGACGGCGGTTGCCCCTGGCAACCGATAGCGACGCCTTCGCCGCTTTCATTGGACCTGGCAACGGCTAGCGACGCCTTCGCCAAGGGCTGCAGTTTCATTGGACGGCGGTTGCCCCTGCCAACGGCTAGCCACGCCTTCGCCACTTTCATAGGCTCCTTAAATAATTAAATAATAGCCATTACACAGTATTGTTCGAGCGCTGAGGGGGGGGGGAAGGCACGCCACCCGTACCCTGCCTCTGCCGGGTGGACAATTTTGGCGAGGCCGCAGGCTCTGCACGCTACTAGGCCTCGACACCCACCACGCCACTCTGAGGTAAATTCATCAAAGTTTGTCGTACAAATCACTCCACCCCCACCACAATGTGTGCAATTAATATTACTTTTAAACCCAACGCGCCAACAATCGATTACTTTAATGTTCACTGTACAAATAGTCATTAAGCTGGGTCAGCGTACTGCCAGTCTATAATGTAGACTGTAGCCTGCTTATTAAGCTCGGTGAGCGTACTGCCACTCTATCATGTACACTCTAGCCTGCTTATGAAGCTGACTGCGTGTACTGGCAGTCTATAATGTGGACTGTAGCCTGGTTATTATAATCGATTCTTTATATGTTCTTTGTACAAATAGTCATTAAGCTGGTTGAGCGACCCCAGTTCGATTCCAACTCACGCCCACCACCGCTGACGATTATTTTAAACGGACCTGGCCCTCCCCTAGGTCCACTCAGCCTCAAACGCCTAACTGCTGTCGTGTGTGAACATCGTCACTGGGGAGACAAAGGCGGCCGGGCATCGTGGATCCAAGTCCCGGGCGAAGCCGGGTCATGTGTATGTGTGTATGTGTTTATGTGTATGTCTGTGTGTCTCTATGTATGTGTGTATGTATGTGTGTGTATGTGTTTGTGTGTGTGTGTGTCTATGTATGTGTGTGTATGTGTTTCTGTGTATGTCTGCGTGTCTGTATGTATGTATGTACGTGTGTGTATGTGTTTGTGTGCATGTGTGTGTGTATGTATGTGGGTTTTTTTGTATGTCTTTATGTGTATGTCTGCGTGTCTGTATGTATGTGTGTATGTACGTGTGTGCATGTGCTTGTGTGTATGTACAGGGTGACCCAAAAAAAACGGGCCCCGTGCACACGGGGCCTATTAGAGTTGGGGCCCGTTTTTTTTGGGTCACCCTGTATGTGTGTGTCTATGTATGTGTGTGTATGTGTTTCTGTGTATGTATGTGTGTGTATGTATGTGTGTTATGTGTCTGTCTGTGTGTCTGCATGTATGTGTGTGTGTATTGTGTATGTGTTTGTATGTGTTTGTGTGTTTACGCTCGCATTACACAAATGTGTTGCAGGTCTAAGGCGTTCCTTGCGCAGCATTGCCGCTTTATTATTTCAGTCGTTTACTGCCGTACGCTACCCTGAAAGTCGTGTGTGTCTGCAGCAAGCGCGTGTATGTGTACCTATGGACGCGCGCGCGTGTGTTGTGTAGGGGGAACGGTAGTGTAGTGCTTAGCGT